TTCTAGTTTTCTATTTGGTGTTGGAATTTCTTTGAAAGCTGTTTTTCCAGAATTTTGTAAAATTTTCCATGACAGATATTTCGGATCATCAATATTTAAATAAATTTGTGGTATAGGTATTTTATTGATTGTTTCTATTATTTCTCCTTTTTCGTTATATTTCCATAGATTAACAAAATCTGTTTCATCCAAAATATTTTTATCATATTTATTTTTGAATAATTGTATTTTGTCATCAAATAAGGTTTTTTTATAGGTTAAATTACTAGATATTTCTTCATTTATTTCATCATCTTTACTTTTATTATTTTGATTATTCGTTTGATCCTTCTTGTGTTGTATATCAGATATATTATCAATTGTGGAGGTATCATTATTTGTTGATTTATTCTTTATTGGTATTATCCTTTTATTATATCTATTATTATTATCATTATTATTATTATTATTATTATTATTATTATTATTGTTGTCATTAATTTTATTATTATCTGCTACATGTGGGGAATTAATTTGAATAAGCTTTTCTCTTAGCTGGTCAAATTTGTCTATGAGGTAATCCGTCTCTATAGCCGTTTTATCCCTTATTAGAATTTGTAATGTATGTAAATTTAATAAGAAGTTTAAATTTGGAAAGAAATGTTGATTATAAGATGATGATATTAATATGAGATCATCAAAAAATATATTTCTTTTTACATCAGTTGGTGTATTGAATGAATATATTTTATTTCTTTCTTTTCCAAAGGTATCAATATTACGACTACTAAATCCACTAGTTGTTAAAGCATTTACAGGGGAATTATTATAACATTTTGGTGACTTAAAATTAGATGGTACAAATTTTGATTCAGTAGAAATATCTTCTTCATATGTTATTAATTTTGGTATATAATATTCATATAGATACATTTTATTTTTTCTATCTATAGGATCTATATATTTAAATTCATATTTATATGTTAAATATGGTTTTTGTTTATGTTCCCATGTTTCTTTTTCTATCATTTCATTATTTTTTATAAAATTATTTACACATGTTATATCTTGATATTCTGTATTATGCATATTCGATATATAATCATACATTAATGTAGAATTATATTTTTCATTATTATTACGTAAGCACCATTCGTTAATAATAATATTAGAAATATTTTTTTTATTAATTCGTGATATTAAATCACTATTATTTTTATCATCACTTTCTGGATCATTTTCTGGTGTAAATTTTTGGTACAGTTCTTCATATTTCCTTAAATATTTTTGGAAATCTGTTTTTCTATTTTTTTTTTTTTTTTCCTTTATATTTTTACTTATAATATTATAGAATAGATTAATAAAGAGCATATTATAAGTATGATTCAATTGATTATTATTATTTTTTCTTGATAAATAATATTGTATTATATTGTTATAATTTCTTATTTTTTTTTGTGTTTTTTCTTCATTTTTATGTCTATAGTACTTTATATATTTGGTAATATAAGTTTTAATGGTTTCCAAATGGGTAGAATTATTAATTTTTAGATATATTTTTTTATTACCATTTTTTGGATGATAATTAATATTTTTAAATGTGTATATATCTGGATTAATATTCTTAAAATTAATGTTATAAGGAATGTGAGCAAATTTTTGTTGTATTTTATTTCTTTTTATAAAATATCCATTAGTTTGACCATATAATTTTTGTTTTTGTGTAATTGTTAATGTTACGGTTTCTATTCTTTTCTTTTCTTTTTTTAAATTTGAAAACATAAAATTTTTAAATTTTAGTTTTAATTTGTTTGTTATATTTAATTTGATATCATTTTTATCATATATGTCTTTTAAGTATATATCATTCCAATGTTTACTTTCTACATAATCATAAATTTTCAAAAGTTTATTTGTTAATAATAGAAATATAAAAATGTAATTACGAAAGAATACATTAGGCATAGTTTTTTTCTCTTATATATAAAATATGGTATAATTATATATATATATATATATATATATATTATTGTGTTCGCTAAATCATTCTTATCAAAAAATTATACACCCAAAAAAAAAACAATAACTTAAATATTTTAAATATTACGTCATTATACAGTCTTAAATTAATATATTATGTATATTAAGAATTATACATTTACACACAAAAAAAATTAAAATAAAATAAAAATTATATATATATATATATATATATATATATAATTGATATATTATATATATCAAGGTAAATAATTGTGTTATACTAAATAATTATATTCATAACAAATGTGTGATTATATAAAATATATATTTTATGTTTCATATATAAATGTGAATGATTTATAAATCTCTTCTATTATAATAATATATATATATATATATATATATATATATACATATATATATTTTAATTATACATATATATATACCTGAGTATATTTAAAAGTTTATAACAAATTATAGGAAATATAATAGCTTTTTTCTTTTATTGAAAAAAAAAAAAAAAAAAAAAAAAAATAAAGATATATACATATATATATATATATATATATATATAGTGTACCAAAAATATTATTATATGAGAATATAATAATTCACAAAAAAATGATAAATAAAATATATATAAACCTTGAAAAAGAATAAATACTATCAGTGTATTATTTATGCCATTTAAAGTTTTTATATTATTTTTCTCATCAATATACTTTTGCAAAAATATAATAATATATATATATATATATATATTTATATTTTGTGCTTCTTTAAATAACTCTAATTTGTAACAACCAAATTTATTTTATACAAAAGAACTTATGGAAAATATAACGCATATAATTATGCAGATATGCTTTCCTGGAAACCCTAATCCAAAGATATTAAAATATATATATATAATATATTTATGATATAAGATATTAAATTTTAAGGGTGTTATAATAATATATAATAGATAAAAGGTTATAAGATTATATTCTACGTTTATGTAGTTCTCTGTACATATACATAATTTATATAATTGTAGCTTTATTATATGTAAAATATTTTAAAAGGATATATAAATGTCTTTTTAATAATATTATGAATATAACGAATGGCTTTATAAGAACAATATTCTTAATTTTCTTATTTTTATTTATTTTCCCTTTTCTCATTTTTAATAAATGATATAATATAAACGGAAAAAAAGAAATAATTTTTTAAATTTAAGGTTATTTTTAAATTAATTAAAAAAAAAAAAAAAAAATTACATTATGTATATATAAGATATATATAATAAATATATTATTTTTTAATAAATTAGTTTTATATCATATTATAAAAAAAAAAGAAAAAAAGATACATATTTTACATTTTCTTTTTTTAGTATTTTTTTTTTTTTAATTTTTTTTTTTTTTTTTTTTTTTTTTTATTTGCTTTAAAAAATTTTATAAGAGTAAGAAAAGAAAGTAACATAAATTTTATTAAGCACGGATGGCTGAGTGGTCTAAAGCGTCAGACTCAAGATCTGATGAACGTAAGTTCGCATGGGTTCGAACCCCATTTCGTGCATATTTAAAAAGGAAAATAGCGCCTATAAATATAAATTTTAATAAATAAATAATTTAATTATATTTTATATATATTATTTTATATTATATATATATATATATATATATATGTATATATTATAAATATATATTTATATATTTTATAAATTTATCTTGCACCAAAAAAAAAAAAAAAAAAAATTAAAAAAAAATTTTCTATATATTAAATATATTAGAATATATTAATTATCATTATTGAAAAAGTAATCTTTATACTTTTTTTTTATTTTTCTTAATATTTTATTTTATTAAATATTTAATAAAAATTTTATTTATAGAGAAAGGAATATTTCTAATGAAAAGAAAATATTATTATATGAGTTTGTATATAGTTAAAATACCGTGTAATAAAAACGTTATAAAAATTTTTATATTTGAAGGATATTAATAAATATTGTCAATTATTTTTATTCCTTTATATATTATATAGATTATATATATATATATATATATATATAAATGTTTATTTATTTATTAAGAACAGAAAAGAAATAATATTATCATCTTCTATATTTTGTATATTATATTTAATTATTCTTATTCCAAAGTTATCATACACATAATATATTAATTTATATTTATTTTTTTCTTTATGTATGTAATGTTATTGAAAATATAGATTTATATGTACTTATATTTAAAAACTATAACCTTGTTGTGTTAATATAAGAATGTCTATTGAGAGGTAATATCAATGGAAAGCGTTAAATTCTTTATAAATTTATATATAGGAACATTTTATAAGGTGTATTAAATATGGAAAGGTTTTAATTTATTTTAATTTAAACTAATATTGATGTTAATATTAAAATATGATATATTAGAAAGAGATTATATATATAAATATATTTTTGTAATCATTATAAAATATATGACAAATTCAATATGTATTTATTTATTAAATAAATTGGAATAAAGGAAGAAAAAAGGAAAGGGTTATTTTTTTATATATTTTAAAAGTTTTCATAATATAAAGTATATATATATATATACAATACATTAGTCTTATACGAAAAATGTTTTTCCATACTAAATAAAATATTATCTTTTATTACGATGTAACGAATATATATATATTAGATTTTTCTATATTATTATTTATATAACATTGCTGTAATGTAATTTTAGGTGAAAATAATTATTTAAAAAATAAAAAAAATAAGGAATATTGTTCTTAACTATTATATTACATTACAATAAATATTATATATATATATATATATATATATATATTAATTTATCTCTTCATATTAAATAAAAATAAAATAAAATTATGTATTCATTTGAAAAAAAAGAAGAGAAAAAAAAAAAAATAAAAAAATATATATATATAATATATATATATAATAAAATTAATAAATTTATACGAACAACCCGAAGGTTTTCCATATTTTAGATTGACCTGTAAACTTATTGCTAAATTTAAGGTTTGGCTGCGTCAACCGGGAGTCGAACCCGGGTCACCTGCTTGGAAGGCAGGTATCATGGCCGTTAGACTATTGACGCCTTATAAAATATTGAATTATCATAATTTATATGGAGAAAAAATTATGATAAAAAAAAAAAAAAAAAAAAAATATAATTTTTCATATATATGGAACAATATATAAATATATATTATTTTATTATATTATATATATAATGAAAAATAAAATTATAAAAAACATTATATCTTAATTATATTTATATAAATAATTTTAATATTTTATTTAATTTTTGGAATAATTTTGAAAGTTAAAGAAAAATTTAAAAAAGCATATATATAATAATAAAAGCCTTAGATAAATATTATATTTATATATAATGGTATATTTAAAAATAAATAATAAAAATTATCTTTTCGATATATAAGTATTAAAATATAATTATTATATAATATATATATATATATATGTATGTATATAATATAGTTTGTTTTTTTACTTTTTATTGAACATAAAAGTATATTAATGTAATACTTCTTTTTTTACCAAAATATAAATATACATAATATATATATGATGAATCAAAAAAAAAGAAAAAAAATCATATATAAAAAAATAATTAATAAAAAGAATATATGTTTAAATTATATATTTATCCATTGAATAAATATAAAGATATAAATGAAATAAGAAAAAAACTTAATTGTATTTTATAATAATATATCCTATAGTTATAAAATAATGTTTTTTTTATATGTAATAAAATAGTAGGTCTTTTTTTTTTTTTTTTTTTTTTTTAATAAGATTATAAGATATATTTATAGAAAAAAATAAAAATTTGATCTATATATAAGAAGTAACTACACATATTTATTTTGATTAATAAATTATTTATTTATTTATTTATTTATTTATTTATTTTATTATATATTATATTTTTTTTTATATAAAATTGAATACACTTATGGAAAAATATATATTTTCCGTTTCATATAAATTATGAATTTTTTTCATTAGTTTTAAATTCAAAGATTGTTTTATTGAGAATTTATTAAATTGTAACTTATTTTAAAATAGGACATTAGAACATTGAATGTTATATATAACCAATTTAATATGATATATATATATATATATTTATATATATATATGTATTATGTTTATTTTTTTTCTTCTGTGAGAATAAGGATATATTATTATTACACTTCAAACAACATATTAGTTCACATTTTAAAATTATAATGAGATATTTGAATTTATATTTTATAGGAATTTTTCGTAAAATTTAGAAAATTTAAAATTCGAATTAAAAGGATAAATAAAAGGAAAAATATATATATATATATATCATATTTTTGTATAGGGAAAAGTGTGATATATTAATATAAATATAAATTTTTTAAAGAATTATTTTTTTTTTTTTTTGGATATATAATATGAAAATATGTATAAATATATATAATATGTAAGATTTTTACAAAATACATGATTTTATTCTGAATATTTTATTTATAGCTTTTTTTAAAAATTTAATTAAATTTTATATATAAATATTAAAATATAATATATAAAATTTAATGAAAGAATTAAAAATAGGGGTAAATTATAATATATAATAACAAACATAAAATATATATATGTATTTAATATAATGGATTGTTGTATCTACATATATTTTTTATAATAAAAAAAAATAATATAATTATATCTTTTATATATATATAGATAAATATATATATATATATATATATATAATATATATAAATTTTCATAATTATAATAAAAAAAAAAAATATATATATATTATATTTATTTAATTTACATAGTAAAAAGAAAAGAACACTATAAATATAATTTATTTAATTATATTAATATTTTTATATAAATATATATTTTCATGTGTATTTTATTAAATATATAAAAATATATATAAATAATATATACGAAAAATGATTGATTTTATTGTACGTACTATAAATATGATATAATATAACTTAACCTCTTTGATACACTAATATTTTACTTGTTAAGAAACTATATATTATTTTATAATATTATAAAATAAACATATATATTATATATATATATATATATATATATATATATATATATATATGTATATATTAAATAACATATATATTAAATTTATATATATGTACATTAATATATATATCAATATATTATTATTATTATATATGCTTATATAAATATTTATATTATAAATTTTGGCCTTTGGTTTCTTTTTTTTTCTTTATATTAATGTATTATTTTACATATATTTACATATATATATTTATAATTTTTATAATACCCTCTTTTTTTTTTTTTTTTTTTTTTTATAAAATTATTTTGAAATTTTTTTTATAGTAAATAGCCTATACTAAAGATTATATAAAAATAATATATTTATATATATATAATACATTTTTTTATTTTTGCTTATTTTTTTACTTCAACAAAAAAAAGAAAAAATTAGGAGATATATTTGTAATTAAAAAAAATAAAAATAACAATTTCTTATTTTCTTATTTAAGAATAAATTGAAAATTAAAAAATATATAATAATTTTATAACTTTTTATAAATTTTAAATAAAAAAAAAGAAAAAGAAAAGAAAAAATGGCATCAATTCCAGCATCAGAATTACCAGAATGTGAAAAACAGGAACTTTTATGTACCTATGCTGCTTTAATATTACATGAAGAAAAAATGAGTATAACAAGTGACAATATTTTAAAGCTTATTAAAAATTCTAACAATACTGTTTTGCCATACTTACCAATGCTTTTCGAAAAGGCTTTAAAGGGAAAAGATATTCAGTAAGAAAAAAAAAAAAAAAAAAAAAAAAAAAAAAAAGTATATTATATAATATATATATATATATATATTATATATATAGTTATATTTTAGTATACATATAAAAATGGATGTATATAAAATTTTGTACATACCTAAATATGCATATAAAATAAATATATATTTATACATGTATTTATTTCTATTTAACAAATATGAACTTTGGATTATGATATATCAAGTATATAATTATTTATGTGCAAATTGTATATAATATTATGTGAAAATGTATATAATTAAATTGTGTTTTTTTTTTTTTTTTTTTTTTTTCTCTCCCTAATATATATGCAATATTATATTTATAAATATATAAAAACATATATTTTTTTTAATATTTAATTTTTTCCTTTTTATAGGAGCTTATTAAGTAACTTAAGTGTAGGAAGTGCCCCTGCAGCTGCTGCCCAAGTTACAAGTGATAAACCAAGTGAAGACAAAAAGGAAGCCAAAAAAGAAGAGAAAGTAGAGGAAGAAGAAGAAGAAGATGATTTAGGTTTCTCCTTATTTGGTTAAACTTGTTGTAATATGAACATAGAGAGAGAAAAAAAGGAAAAAAAAAAAAACCTAAGGTATATAAAATAAAATATAAATGTAGGAAAAACAAGACGCTTCTTTATAACACGGTGTTAATAATTTAAGAGTAATTTATTTTATCTGATAAAAATTAATAATATTTTATTTTATAATTTTAATGTAGTATATATATATATATATATATATATATATATATATATATAACTTTTTTTTTTTTTTTTTTTTTTTTTTTTACTTTTTTTTAATACTTATTTTTTATTTATTATGGAAAAAAACTTAAAAAAAATTGTCTAAAATTAGAAAAAGCATAAAAATTAATTTTTTTTTTTTTTTTTTTTTTCTTTATTAAAGGTATGTATAAAAAATTAGTTCTTTTATATTTTTAAAATTTATATCCTTTTAAAAATGGAAAAGTAGGTGTTTGAAATAACTATGTATATTATATTTTTGCATCTTCATAAAAGTTGTGGGTTTACCATGTAACAGGATTAATATAACATATGTTAAATATGTTGTATATAATATATGTTTATATATATTTTTAAATATTTTGTGTGAATATTTTTAAAGCTATACCTGAATAAATTTTAATTTAAGAAACAAAATGTATTTTTTTTTCATATAGTATATCACTTAATACATAAAGGAATTATTAAAGTATGGACCTTTTGATAGGTGTATAATAATATATATATATATATATATATATCAATGGTATATTATTACAAAATACATGTAAAAATATGAAAATAATAACAACAAATATATATATATTAATTAATTATCATATATCTATTTATATTACATTTTATTATTGTTGTATAATAATGTGTGTTTATATTCATACTTATGTAATATATTAATCTTTTAAAATTCTTATTTAAAAATGACTTATTACTTATTAATAATTCTTAATATTATTGGATTATTATTATTATTTTATTTTATTTTATTTTATTTTATTTTTTTGTCTAGTCATCTTCATTAGAAAAGTATCCAGAATCTGCTTCAATGAAATGTACAAGTGCTCGACGCCTATAACGTGTTCTCTGATAACTCTATTAATTTAAAAATAAATTATGAACATAATGGGACATTTTGAATTTTGAAATGTAGAAAGATGGTTTAATTTGTATTATATATATATATATATATATATATATATATATATATATATTATATTATATTATATTATATTATATTATATTATATTATATTATATTATATTATATTATATTATATTATATTATATTATATTATATTATATTATATTATATTATATTATATTATATTATATTATATTATATTATATTATATTATATTATATTATATTATATTATATTATATTATATTATATTATATTATATTATATTATATTATATTATATTATATTATATTATATTATATTATATTATATTATATTATATTATCTTACCAGTTGACATATTTTTAGAAGTAGTACTGCAAGTGCTATATAAATTAGAATACATACTATAAGAAGAAAACCATAATCCATATCATATTCATATAAATTAACATTATTTGTTATTTCGTTATGGTTATCTTGAAGTTTTAACTGTGTACTCTTCGGTGAATTTAAATTAGAAGGTTCAAGTTCACTCATGTTCAAAAAAAAGGTTTTAAAAATATTATTGTACACATTTAAATATACTTATAATCTATATAATTCATTT